AGAGACTCACGCGCTGGAGATAAAAATGTTTTTTTCTGCACAACGTTGCCATTGCTCGCTTTGAAATCCTTGAGTTTGTTAATCAAAAATTCGTCAAAGTTTTAAAAAATAGGAAATCGATCATAAAACAAATTTCAAATTTCAAATTTGGTCTTCCACATGCTCATATTCGTTGGAGGATTACGTTATTCAAAATTCGATGACTCTATGTACCGTTGTTTAATCACAATACGAGAAATATACATACATTTATGCAGATTTTTCATTATTTAATTTCTTCAAATATAATGCAGGACTCTAACATTTTGTGGCAACAGTTTGAAAAGTGAACCGACATTTATGAGTCCGACGCAAAATGCCAAAACGAAACTAATAGTCCTTCGAGATTGAAATCCCTTTGGACTAAAAAAAAAAAATCTGAAAGATTTCAGAATTTACATTACGCCCATAGGAGCGTTTTGTAACGTTTTGTGTGTTATCGTTATTTATTAAATATCATGTTCTTCGCACTTAAAATTCAGTTCGACAGCAATATCGCAAAATTATTTTTAAATGAGCATATCTTTAGAATTTCCGATACATAGTCTCGTGCGCTGGAGACAGAATTTTTTTTTTTTTTAGTCCAAAGAGGCTTTGTCCCTGAAGAACTATTGTTTTCGTTTTGCGATTTTGCGTCGAATCACTATAAACGGCGTATCACTTTTCAGATTGTTGCCACCAAATGCTAGAGTCCTGCACTATATTTGAAGAAATTAAATAATGAAGAATCTGCATAAATGTATATATATTTCTCGCATTGTGATAAAACGGTACCTAGAGCCATCCAGTTTTGAATGACGTAATCCTACTGCGAATATGGGCATCTGAAAGTCCAAATTATAAATTTGGAATTTGTTCTATTATCGGTTTCATATTTTGCAAAACTTTAACGAATTTTTGATTAGCAAACTCAAGGATTTCAAAGTGAGCAATGACACACACTACGAGGTAAAAAAACCTTTTTATCTCCAGCGCGCGGAACTGTATATCGGAAATTCTAAAGATAGGCTTATTTTAAAATTATTTTGCGACAGTGCTATTGAACAGAATTTTATAATTTAAGTGCAAGGATTATGATATTTAATAAATAAAGGTAACACACAAAACGTTAAAAAAACGTCCCTTTGGACGTGATTTAAAATCTGAAACATTTTCAGACTTCCCCCCCCGTACAGTATTGCCATTGCTCGCTTTGAAATCATTGAGTTTGTTAATCAAAAATTCGTTTTAAAGTTTAAAAAAATATGAAATCAATAATAAAACCAATTCCAAATTTGGACTTCCAAATACCCATATTTGAGCGGAGGACGGCGTTATTCAAAATTTGACGTCTCTACGTACCTTTTTTTTTTCACAATGCGCCAAACATTTATACACTTATGCAGATTCTTCATTGTTTAATTTCTTTAAATATAATACAGGGCTGTAATATTTGGTGGCAACAATTTGAGAAATATAACGCCATTTTATAGCGCAAGATGTCAGAATGAAATTAATAGCCGTTCTGGGCAAATTGCCCCTTTGGTATTAATAACCTGAAGAACAACACCCGAATTAAAATGTAATAACTATTATTCAATAACGTGTGTGTGCGATTATGGCAAAGCCTCGAGGGCTATCTGCCTAAGGGAAGGGGTGCCTTCGTGGAGGACTTTCTAAGGGAAACTGGCTCGTATACGCGTTACTCATGGGGAAAACCACGAAAACGCCCATGCAGCCGGCCCGTTCGCGGGATTCGAACCTCGGACCGAACTACCAGTGTTCAGCGACTTTACCGCTCGGCCGCTGGTAGGCCTATTATTAAATAAATATACTTGAGAGGATTTAGACGTGGGTGATTATTATGAGAAGAATAACCAGTTTCGGACCACTTAGAAAGTTTCGAACTTTTAACAACGTTTCATTAGTTTAACATATTAAGTTAGCATTTCTAAATCTATCTTCCTGAAACCTATAATTAGATTGTATAGCTTGAAGAATAAAATCGCTAAAAAACGAAACTTATTTCACAATTTTATTTACTTATTTAAGTATTCATTTATTTATTACCTATTTTGTATTTTATTTATTATGCACTTTATTTTATTTTCAAATCTCAATTCGATGTATTTCTGTCGACTGATGTTTTTAATGCCAAGTAATTATCGAAGTAACTTGTTTTGAATATTTAAACAGATAAATAAGCTTAATAAATTGCATCTCTTAATTTTAAATAAGCATTTATTAACTCACATTAAAATATGTTTTGACAAACGGAATTCCGTAAATAAATAATTTCATGACATAAAAAAACAGACGCTCATAAAGTATATATTACATAGAAAATAATATTTTTTAAATGCTTTCAATTTTTTTTTCATATAAATGCTTCTATGTGCAATTTTCCTTTCATTTATCATTACATTTCAAGCTAACGATTGCTTAATATGTGATGTAATATTTACGAGGTTGAAGGCATTAAATTTGACAGGAATGTGTTATTTTTTGACGGGATAAGATGCAGCAAAATTTTTAATGTTATGTGGATTTGACTTTAGAGTTGCCTTACCCTGATGCAGAATGAGTTTAGATAAATAACATCTATTGATAGTATTATTTAAACAGCTGAAATTTCAACAGATATTCTTGGCATTTTACGTTGAATCACTGAATTGCGATGCATCACTTTCAGATTGTTCCCACTAAATGTGTTAGCCCTATATTATATTTAAATAAACTAAATAATAAAGAATCTGCAAGATTGTATGTATGTTTCTCGCACTGTGAAAAAACAACGGCATCTAATATCATCAAATTCTGAATAACATAGCCCTCCACCCGAATATGGACACCTGGAAGCCTGAATTTGGATTTTATTTTATTTTCTATTTCATATTTTGAAATAATTTAACGAATTTTTGATTAAAAAGTCAACAGTTTCAAAGCGAAGAGTGGTGCAACACTGTAGGAAATAAAACAATTCGATCTCCAGGGCGCGAGGCTGTTTATCGGAAATTTTAAAGATAGGTTGTTTTTAAATATTTTAGCCCAAAATGGCAGTAGCCCAAATGCTCTCAAAATGGACATATGTCTGTAAATGGAAAAATAAACGCCCGTTTGGGCGTAATTTAAAATCCGAAAGCTTTCAGATTTTATTTATTTATTCATTTTTTTATTTTTCATTTGTAATTAAACGTTTCTTTACAATATTAAAATAATTCTGTCTTAAGTGGCAAAGTAATGCTGCAACTGTGCTTTGATTTTTGAAAAGCAGTTACGTATTTTAACCCTTTGACTTCTAACGGGACAGTAACATACTTATATGCCATATTAATGGTTTAAAAATTATTGCTGGATTACATCCGTAAGAATCTCCTGAATGCTAGGGATCATCTTCCAATAGTTGGAAAATGAAGACGCCTCTGTATTCGTTGTACCCAAATGAAACGGAGAAAAGAACAAATATGATTTGCCCAATGTGTAATGTTGGGTTATGCAAAGAATGTTCTATCATACGATGTAAATCTATTTCCTATAATTATAAAATAATAAAATCTATAAATAAAGTTTCCCAGAATAACAGGTGTACTTATAGTAAGTCGATCTTTGCGTGTGGGATATATCCCATCATTAACTATGGCTGGGATATATGTGTCCCAGCCGTCGGCTTGAAAACTGTTTGTCAAAACTATCCCAAATGCTAAATTTACCTTATTTATGACACATTTTGTTCACTTGGATAGAAACGGGATAATTTTTTTTTAATATTTTTTAATTTTTTTTTTAATCTTAGTCAAAGAGTTAAAAACAGTGTTTTGCCATAATTCAAATTTTAAAGTTGAAATAAGAAATAGATTCATAAAAAACCATTATTTGCTTCTAAATTAAAAAAAAAAAAAATAGAAAGTTGTAGAAGTCTGTCAGTTAAATTGTTGATCCTTTTGTATATTAATTAAAATGAATTATTTATGTGTATTAAAGAATCAAGTATAAATTTGTATGTATGAAAACTGACCCTTTCTTTAGATATTTCTTGTTCACTAAATATTTGCATTTGTACATGCAGCCAGGGGTAGGTCGAATCACCTGTAAGTAGCTTTTATTCGCAGGTTTCTGGCTTCGAATGATACCGCTTTTTTATTCCACCTAGTTGACATGCTTGTAGTGTGATGTTTGTGTCCTGCTTGTGCTTGTTTATTTTTGCTTCGCAGTCTCCTATTATATTTTTTATTTCTTGCATGCTGTTTTATTATGTAGCATGCAAATTGTAACTGAATCTATGTAGCATCTTGAATGTCGTGTTCACTTTAGTGCATTACACAATTTTAGTTTATTATAGATTTCTATAATTTAATTAATGTAATTGGCCACCTAATAAAAAGTTTAACTGATCATCTCCCTCTTTTAATTTCTTATTATAACTGGTATCTAAACCATAATCTTTAACAATTAATGTGATGCAATTTGCTTGAATAACTGCACTCTTCCTGTATTGCTGTTTTTCAAATCCGTTTCTTTCCTTCTCTCCGTTTTTAATCATTCTTAAAATTATGCATTCTTCAGTGGCAATAAGCAATTTTGCAAGTGGTTAGATGCTGTTGAGTGTTTGAAATACTGTTTTTGTAAAGAAATATCGCATTTCAGCCCTGAAATTTCTCTGTCTTGTTGCCTTTATTCTACCAAACTGGATACTCATTTTTCTTTTTGCATGGAAAAATGAAATGAATATCTTTTGATTTATTCACATTTTTGTATCATGTCAACTAGGTGGAATAACTTAATTCTAAACAGATATCCTCTTTTGGATTCGAAAGCAAGTATTTTAAGTTACAATTTCCAGCGATATTTCATGGATTTCGAAATTTCAGGGCTGAAGATCTTGGTAAAAAAAGAATAAAAAATATCTTAAAATATTCTTAAGGATTACAGTATAGTCCTTGTTACTTTCAGATTTGATTTGTAATGTTTTGTTTCTTTTACAGACGGCAACAATCTCAAGAAATGCAGGGCCAGGTTTGGTCTAGACCAGCAGAGCAGTTGGTGTAAACCCTGCAGGTACTTTTATTCAGTTACTTTGATGTCTTATGAGTTGTATAGTTTTCAGAAGAAATTTATTATATTAGAATTGTACATATCAAACGAACGGATAACCGAAAAGTACAGATAATCAAGAAATAGGATTCTGTGAAATTATAATTAATAAACTTTTACACCAGAATATGAATTCTTCAAGAGTTTTAAATTAACGACATACTTACGGTATGCGGTAAAATTTACAAAGATTTTTTAGATTTATTTTAATTCTGGAAATAATTTATTATATTCCCTTTATGAATCATACTCACATATAAAAAAAAAAGTACACGGAAATGATGCCAATTCAGAACATGCATATTGTTTTGAACAGTATGTATGCTTATATCTTTTACTACATCTATCAAAAGGGCAATTCTTTTTATTTACAAAATTAAACACGCTTTCACTCTATGTTAAACTATCATAATAAATTTAACTTTGTATAAAACACAATTCCTACTTATTCCATGATTGCTTTACAATAAACCCAAAGATATTGGCTTGATCCTTCACTGCTAAGGTAGCTGTTTATTACCAGGTTGCCCAAAATCAAAATTTTCCATATCATCAGGGTGCTGATTTTCTTCTTTTAACGCAGAAAAAGCTCGAAGAAAAAACTTGCTGTGAAAAATATATAAAAATCGTTCGCCTAAACAGCCTTCTTTAAATTTTATCCAGAGCCTATTAAGCAAGATTATTCAGGTAATAGCCAAAGTTCGAAAGAGAAGATAAAATGCAAATAAATAAATATCTTTATAAACCATTCCCATCACGGATAGATCTTTAAACCTGAAATTTTTCTCTTTTTGCTTCATGCAACGTTGATTCTGAATTTTTATCACCCTATTAAGATTGTGTTTTGGCTGTTCTCACATATTGTCATAAATCATTACATTTTACTTACAGGTTCCCAGAAAATGATGTCAACTGTGCATTGCACCATATTCTTCTTACTTTTGATAATTTTTTTATCAGTGTTGTTTCTCCTAAGACAAACAGACTGCAGTAGAATAACCACATAAATTAAAGTCTAAGTCTAGAACTTTAATTTATGTGGATATTCTATTACTTTAAGTTACAAAATCACCTCAAAATAACTGTAAACTCTGTTAGATGACTTATCGTTTACCTTTTAACTAAAAGTATCGGAACTTTAAGTAAAGGTTGCAGATTTCCTCACTCTTTTTGTACTGAAGTAAACTTTGAGAAATCTAGTGAACTTGTTAGCGATTTATCGCCGAGTTCAAATAACAGAAGTCGTAGACTCAATGAGGGTTAACTACCCTTTATCTCACTCAAAATAAGATGAACAGTTGGCCTCTTTCTCGGGCTTACAACAAAGCCTCCATTCGAGTTTGAACTCAAAATGAGAAATAAAAACTAACTTAGAACTAACTAAAAAAAATTTAGCCGAAGCTAACACAAATCTAACGTAGTTGGCCCTTAATTTAAACTAGCCGGCGAATATCAGAAGGCTCGTAATATACGGCCGAGCGTTAATAGTGCCAAGAGAGCCTTAGTCCGGAGGCAATTGCGCGCCACTGTATGAAGTACAGTAAAACCCCGCTTAACGCGGGGGATACGTTCCATCGAAGTAGAGCTTAATGCGAAACAGCGCTAAGCGAGGCTATCTTAACATGTAAATAATGGGGTTAAGGGAAGACGGATAAAAAATGGTTAGGCATTAAATTTAATAATTTTTTTTTAATAAAAATAAAATCAAACATTATTTCTTACAAAAATAAAAACAATATAAACGCATATACTTTTAAAAACAAATAAAATTCTCAGTCAGATCATTCAGTCTATTCTGTGTTTCCAATTTTCTGCCTTTTTTGTCAAGAAGGCATTATGATAGATTGGCTTAATGGCATATTGCGTTCAATTTCGTCGTCAATCCATATAGACAGTCGTTTTTCCATTTCCTCTATAATGTTATTTCTAGAACGGGTAATTCTAGTTGCAGAGCTTGACGTAGTTGCAGTTGCCGATGACAGTATTTTTTTCTTTATTCTTAAGAATTGTCCTTATTGTTGAAGTTGCCAAAATCAATGCAGCACTAATTTGAGATTGACGTTCACCAGAATCTAATCTTCTAATCCCTTGCATTTGAGTTTCCAGTGAAATGCTTTTTCTGGTTGCTTTCTTTTCTTGTTTTTTATTATCACCCATGATAAAAACTAAAGATCATAATATTTGTCACTGTATTAATTCTTATAGTATTATACAAAATTTAAGCTTACAATAATGTCAACAAATATTTCAAATGATAAAAAGGCGTCCACAAAACAAGAAACACAACTACACTGTTTCGGATATGTTATTTGGAAACCTAGCGCTGCGCACATTTTCGGAGAATCCCCGGGTTGAAATAAAAGAGCGCTAAACCGAAACAGTGCTAAACGAAACAGCGTTAAGCGGGGTCTTACTGTACCAAATTTGTTATGTATGTTTATATATTAGTATATTAGCACAATGAACACGTATAGTTATCTAGATAAAGGTGGACGTGGCGCTATACCGATTAACCGTATTGGTAGAGGGGTGGTGCCCACGTTCTCCGTCGCATGTCGCATGGCAAATGCGCGCTACTCAGGATTCCTAGCTCTCTCTCACGAAGTAAATTGAACCTTCCTGTAATACTACTTCTAACTCATTTGCATTTAACTCATTTGCATTCTAACTCATTTGCATTTAACTCATTTGCATTTAATGCGATTCTAAAAACTTCTTCTAGTAGGGAGTTGTCAGTTGAAACAAGAATCAATAAGAAAATATATTAAAATTAAAATAACTGTTATAAAATTAAAATATACCTTAGAAGGTTTAAAATAAAAGCGCATGTCAACTTGGTAGTTAGAAGATCTCAAAAAGTGTACCTTGTTAACTGCGAATGATTCAGAATATAAGTTCCAATTAAACTGAATGTGAAATACAAAATCAGCATGCCCTGTGAAACCCGGGCTCATCCGTAATGTTCGCGAAGCACAAGCGGTTAGCCAAATCTTAAACCGATGAGTTAAAATCAACCAGTAGTTAAGCGCTTTCTCTGTTCAAACGGAAGAACTCTGCCTTTGAATTAATTTACATTCCGTGGGAATTTGACGAAGTGAAAGAAGCCAAAATAGGAAGATATATGTGTTAATCAATACACAAAGTCTCACAGTTTTGTTGGATACCTTTACCATTCGATGTCAAACAAAATGATTATATCTTTCATGCCTTTTGTGTGGTTTTATTAACTAAACAAAGTTTTATTGCATTTTCAGGCGGAAAAAGAAATGTATTCGTTACCTTGACGGCAACGACACCGCTCCGGAGAGTGAAGACAACATGGGTAGTGCAGGCAGTGTTGAGGCTCCCACTCCGGACTCCAATAAAACAGACGACACAGACAGCCAAGATACGGACAATGTTCACAATAATCATACTAATACCTCTCCCCAGTTGAGTCCCTGCAATGACGAAGTGGATACAAAACCTATATTAGACAATAATGGAATGGTGAGATCCACAAGCCCTACTAGGAACCACCAGCACCATTTATATCATCATCATCCTCTCAGTGTTCATCATCTCATTCAACCTCATTTCAACAGTCGGTCAACACTCATCGCCAGGACAGATATGTCGCGTTTTCAAAGTCCAAGTGAGTCTGGTTCCAACCAATTAGCGCCGCCTCCCATGCTCACAGTGACATAGGGCTGTTGTCAGAATCAGTGTCAAAGAAGAACAGGATCATGAGTGCCATTTCAAGATCAAAAAAGCAAGAAATGTTAGTAACAAGAACTCAAGAATGTAACCTCATTTAGGAAGCATCAATTGCATTCATTTTTTTCCTATATGCTGATTTAACTTCATTTCAATTTTTTGCTGTAAAGATGCTGCAGCATGACAAAAGATTGCTATAAACATAATGTTTTATAGTGTTAGATTTTAAGCCACCAATATCATTTTGAAACTTGTTCTAGCATTTTAGAATATGCATTCGTTTTATATGATATTTAGAAATATAAACTCTAAATCCATTCCTCTAAATTATTACAGAATAAAGTTTTTGTTGTATTTATACAATGATTTACAAAATCTTTTCGACTACTCACTTGTATTGATTTGTGTATTTCTTATTACACTTTTAAATTTCAGACAATATTTTACCTCTACATGCATATATAAAATATTTTTTTTTAGAATAAAAGATTTTAAAATGTTATAAAAGTTTTTACAGTTATGAACACTGTAAAACCCTTGCAAAAGTATTATCCCGTAAAAAGAAATTTAAAGGAAATTCTACATTTGAAACAGAATTTTAGGGAATGCTCTGTTTTTGCCGCCTCTTTTTGTCTGTTATTGAATATTATTCAAAAAACAGGAAAATAGCAAGGGATTTGTACGAGCAAAATGTTAGATAAAGTCCAGTATTCTTAAAAAAGCTCAGCTGATGATATTTTGACCATATTGGTATTTTCCCTTTGAGTTGCTTTGTGTTATATTGTTACTATAACTATTTTTCTTAGTCATCTAAACACATGATTGGATTCTGTGTGGGTTGATCTAGAACAGAAGTGGTCACTCTGTAGTACCTGAACACTCCTTCGTCAAAGAGTGTGAAAAAGAGTAGGCTATATTATGAAGTCATGAATCACAATTGTGTGGAAGTGATTTACTTTTTAGGATTAATCCCTCACACTGGCAACCCATTTATGGTTGCCAGTGTAAGAGCATTCATTTCGTGCAAAGTATTCAATTCCTGTGAATTAAATATACTGCTCTCTAATTTACACTAAATTTATTAATTAATGTATGTACACTAAATTTGTTAATTAATAATTTTATGCAGAGAGATGCATCTTAAAATAATCCAAATTAAGATACTGTATCAGATACTTTCATCTGCGTTACACTCTAACCTGCACCCATTATCTACTCTGTTGAGTATTCTTATTATGCTTTTCATGTAAATGTAGCTGACATCTCTCTATTTATTTGACAGTAAAGAGTACAAGTCAGTTTGTAAAATTTGTTCTGCTGCATTTACCCAAAAATTTCGAAATTTCGTTTGCAGTATTCCAAAATAAAAGTAAGATTAAATAAAAAAACCATGTGTGTTAAATAAAAAAGGATTTTTATTGCATTTGCAAACTTTCTCATCGGTGATAAACAAAATAACTATTAGTCTTTCAAATATACTGTGCACGTTCACTACGCCAAAAAAAACGGGGGGGGGGCAGTTCTATATCTCTCGTTCGAATGAGCTAATTCACGAAATTCAACTTGCGTTTTTCATGTCTCGAAAGCGTGACTTAGGATATGTATTAGATTTATATATAGATTTGTTCTAATACAGGTATTTTGACACAAAATCGGACTTTTTCTCAAATAACATACCAATCGTTTTCCATATTTCGATTCTACGACTTAAATTATACCATACCAAGTTTTGTAAAAATCGCACGAGTAGTTTTTTAAAAATCAACTCTCAAAATTTTAGCTCCTCAATGTTAATTGAATTTGGTATATATTTCTTAATATATATTTATTAAACTTTTTTTTATTATTCCTTTCACATCTCGAAATTTAGGTTCATTCCAAATAAAATTCACCCGACCGAATACTGATTATCCATAAGCAGAGATATGGCCGGTGTGTTCATAAACATTATAACATTTTGTAATGTATTCATATCTGATTTTCTTTTTAAAGGTTTTTGCTATTTCTTGACACGTGAATATTTTTCATTTGATACAATATCCCAATTTAGATGTAGATTTTTGCCTCCTAAAATTTCATACCAGAGCTTGCCGTTTCTGATGAAAGAAATTAATTTTACCAGCGTTTTCTTAAAGTGATAATTTTCTCTTTTTCAAGTAATTCACTCTCATTTTCAAGTGGGAACTTTTTTCCATTTCTTAGCATTTTCTGTGGACCATGTTTCTCTTGTTCCCTTCAAAAGTCGTTTTTTTTTTAAGCACATGTTGCAAACCAATATACTTCCGTTTTTAAAATACGGTTATTAAAATTAATTTAATTTTATATTGGTTTTTAAGTGATTAAGTTGATAGAAAGAATATTATGCTTTCTTTTAATAATTCAAGCAATTAGTGTTTGGATAATCTTTATAATAATATTTAATAATAATATCTAAATAATAATTGGATAATCTTTAAGTTAAAAATTAAATAAATATTGTTTCTTACATTAATGAATTTGTCGATTCTTGTACAGCTGTTCTGTGTTTAAAGGAATGCTGGTAAGAAGCACACAATCTAGTGCTTAATCCTCAGTGACGAAAGGTTCACTTGTATTTGATGCATTATTTTATTTTTATTATTTAAATGGCGTGATCATATTTGTTTTTATTGATCGCATTCATATGTAGCTATCATGTGGTGCATGGTGTCATTTTGTGCTCAATGAATATAAAGTCTTCCATATCGATATATTTATTTCGCCCTACATTTTGTTACTGTACCATGTCCGTAATATCAGTGATCGAAAAATGCTATATTAGGGCTCAGGAGTTCGTTATGGCAGCTACAGCAAAGGAAGTATCGATCATAATAGCGCACTAGCATGAAATGTGCTTAATATATCATGAATCATTCAAAACAATCGAAAGCCCACCACGGCCGAGCGGTAAAGTCGCTGAACACTGGTAGTTCGGTCCGAGGTTCGAATCCCGCGAACGGGCTGGCTGCATGGGCGTTTTCGTGGTTTTCCCCATGTGTAACGTGTATACGAGCCAGTTTCCCTTAGAAAGTCCTCCACGAAGGCATCCCCCCCTTAGGCAAATAGCCCTAGTGTGCTTTGCCGTAATTAAATACACTACCACACCAAAACAATCGAAAATAATTGTATTTATTTTAAAGTAAATTCACTTGTTTCATTAAACTGAATAATGATAAAGATCTGAGTTCTAAATTTTTAAACGTTTCAAGATGTTAATTTCAGGTATTAAAAATACTTGAAAATAGCTTCTGTGAATGTGAGAATCTTAAAAATATTTTTAATCTCTAATATAAACTAAACTGAAAAAATAAATCATTACCCAGTTCAAACAACATTATCAGTAAAATCAATGTTTATTATTTAAATTTTTATGTTTTACCCCCCCCCCAATAACTGTATCTTCTCAAAATCTGAATCACTAGATTGATGTACTTCAAACTAGAGTTAGACAAATAATCCCGAGTGTTTTGCCTGAATTCAAAGAACTGGTTTGTGTATACCAAATTTTTCGGCCCGTCCAAATATTCAGACAAATTAAATTAAAAACAAAGTTTGAAATTATTTGAACTGTCTGCCATAAATCAGAAACATAGAAACAGAGTTATAAGCTTTACATAACGCAAAAAACTAATAGTAAAGCGTAAAATAGCAAATAAACTCTGGGGTTCTCTCATAATCAATTAAACATTAAAATACATTTATTTTGAATTACTACCGTAATTTAACAAAATATGGTACAACGAGACTAATGAAATCTGACAAGTATTTAAAGTTGGAATCGATGTTTTAATTAAATTTACTATCATTTCGACAAAAGCATTGGATTCTTTTAATTAAATAAACAATGAAGTATATTAATTTTGAATTATTATCATAACTTAATGGTTGACATTGTTGAATTATATAGAAAAGGAGTTTATTTTACTAACCCGTATTAAAACCGTGCGTTTACATATATGGAAGAGAAAACGGCGAAAATGTTTAAAATATGGTACTGTAAGGCTTATGAAATCTAACAACTAGAAAATTAAAATTCGAGATTTTATGCTGATAATTTATTATAGTTTCGGCAAAATCATCTGTAAATTACGATTTAGGTATAAACATACACTAGTTTATTTGGTTATAATAGTGAAAGTGGTCTGTTAGTTGATTTGGTTATAATAGTGAAAGTGGTCTGTTAGATTTCAAGAGGGTCGAAACGGGATATCTTCCTATATAAAATAAAATTTCAAAATTTTCATCAGCACAAGATTTAGGCAGTAGAATAAAGTTCAAACAATGTAGCTTAAAAGCTTGTAGGAGTCGGTGCATGTTAACATAAAATTACTGCGAGTTCAAGTCTGTAATTACATTAAAGACACAAAGTCTTCAGTAGTAACTGTTTCCTCCATCCTTAAGATCGTTGCATTGTTTCCCTCTCGTATTCTTTCTAGTTAAAGATTCTTGAGTACCGTGTACTGACATTTATTCGTGAAAGCACTCTTGGTTCAGCTTATTTTACTCTTACTAGAGGTCTCGTCTCGGGGCAAAATAATTCAGCGGAAGGTAGTTCCAAAGTTGGGCGCTTCGCAACTTTATCACTCCTTGCTAAACTTCCACTCATCCTTCTAACAAAACTTTCCAGGCTTTGGAGGTAACCCATCAAAATAGGTGCTAAAACTACATATCATTCCAGCTGTTCTAACCCCTTAATCCTGATCCATTTCCTGCCTGCCCTTCCCATCCACGAGAAAATAAATAAATAAGGAAAAAAAGTAAGTTGGAGATTGGGTTTTCGTGAAGGGTTTCGCTTCTAAGTGAAACAGCGACTAACTGAAAAGTTAGGATCAACTTTTATTACTTGGCCTCGTGCTATGGTTTTGGTTTTTATATCGATCAAGATCACCATTTCCTTGTGCCTTCCTGGTGAGGATTTTCAGAGATCTGGATTTGAAGTTGCCAAAAGAATTCCTCAAATTTTTATGTCGACAATTCCTCTGATTTTGTTTGAAAGGAATTCTTTACTGGTTCAGTAACTATGCTCATTTTTATGTTTCGGTTTTGTGGTACACTTGTCAGTTAAAGTGAAATCAATAACGGAATAAGAAGAAAGTCAGTGTTAAAATTTTAAATGGCGTTTTATAAGGAAGATACGAACACGGAATTTTGATTATTTTAATTATATATATTGGAAATATATGTGATTCTTTCCATAAAGATAGACATATGCATGTAAATTTAATGAACTGTATCTGAAAGCAAAATAGTTGATTTTAAATCAAACATTTCTTTAAAAGTATTCCTTATAAAGTTATCTACAGTAAAATATTAATTATTATACTAAAGACAACTTTATAAGAAATTATTTTGCCTTCGAATTCAAAATTTCAAAAATTATAATTAATATAGTAAAACATTATTGATATTCTAAAGCTAACTAACTTTTGAATACTAAGGCGAAACATACTAACAAAATTTCTAAGATGCATTTTTTGGCTGCATAGCATTCCTTAAATTAGATATACCGGCTGATAAAACTTAATTACCATACACTTCTGAACTTATCCTAAATAGCGCCCGGTTTAAAAAAAAATAAGAGAATTTTATAATGCTTATCTCTTTCAAAGTATACATCTTTTTGCATCAATGTAATTTCAAATGAATTTGAACTGCCATTTCTAAGAAATTTGAAATAATACTTTTATATATTAAATTTTTCTTTTAAATTATTGTTATGAAATTTTTACCAAAAGTGAACTGATACTTAATTTTTTAAATGCGTATTTAATTATTAAATTAGCATTTTAAAGAAACTTTGGCTTATTTAATGCGGCAATAACAAATTCAAGAACATTTCAGAATATTCAAGCTTTTTAAATCAAATTTCAGTACAAAGTTAAGCGTGTAATCCTCTTCAAGTGTTCTTGTGTTTTTACTGTTGTTTATTTTCAAGTGGTTATATGATGTTTAAGCACTTAAACGTTATTACAGAAACTAGTAATTAGTAATAAAATAGCTTTATAGCTCGTCTGTAAAGTTTCTAAACTTGATACGAAGTCCAGTCTTTTATAGGCTATAAACTGCTAAGACATTCAGTCAGAATAAAACCAGCTTCTTTATCACTTAGCTAACTAGACTTCTAAGATCGTTGAGAATATTTTGAGTTTTATGTTCGTCTTCAGGAAGAAAATAAAATTGTCATTATTACTAGTAAAGTTCAACATAAATTACTTATATCGCAGGATTAATTTATGAACAGTATAAGACAGGTTCTTTAACATAAAACTATTATCATCATCCCATATTTTTACAATACCTTTATCAAAATGTTTTGACTCACCAATGCACTGAACATTGTGAATCCCTAAATATAAATTCTTAAACGCAGAAATGTTTTAATACTTATTCTAAAATTTAATTATGAATTGATTAACTATTACTTAATTGATTTTCGGTGGTGAGGTTATGAAAAAGTCAAACACTTCCTCCCCAGGAATCGAACCTGTACAGTCGTCATTTCCAATACTAAAATTATCATATAGTATAATAGGGAAATGATTTGCATTAAATTTACGGGAAATGATTTACATTAAATTTAACTCTAAATGCT